AACGTCAATAATACTTCTGACCGCAGATCAATTACTCACTATCTATCCACACATTATTATTCCCCTCTTTTATATACCAGCCTACCCTATATCTAGTAATTACTAGAGCATTCGCCAAATTACAGGATAGTTCTAGAAACGTGGCGTCACGGTGGTCATGTGACTCGCTGACGCAACAATATAAAAACAAATGCTTCTCAGACTCAGAGAATCTCAAACACTGGGTCATAGCACCTGCGTCAAAGATTTGTGCAGTTCTAAAATGTCCTTAAAATAAACCCTGCTTACAGATATTTTAAAAATATGCATATCTGATAAGTATACACCAGACACTTAACCCTAAAGAAATGTACAACTCACTTTTCTATAAATTTGAGAAATTGTAAAACGCTTTACGATTTTTTAACAAGTCAAAACAGATTGTTGTTTCTAAAAGAATGTTCATTGAAAATAGAAATTAGTACCTCTCGAAAGACCACGTGATTTCCCATAGAGGGAATATACAAATACAATGCACCAAGGTTTCTTCCTGTTATAATTCGTTTGGCCTATTGAAAATAATTATGTTCTAAAGATCCTCATTTTCCAGAAATACGTACTTGCAAGACTGTAGAGAATCCCAACCAGTGTTAGTCAAGATATTAGTAATGTATTTGTAATTAAGAGTATAAGTAATGGGGTCAGTGCATAGTTATGTTGTTAAAACTTTATTAGATTCGTAGTTAGGCTTAATCAGGGATTACAGTGATATGACAAATTTCGTCAGATTAAGGTAAAGAGCTATTATAAATAAAGTCTTAGGTCTATATTTCTATGTGCAGTAAAATCCGTCTTACTAAGAATATTGAAAATACTGATGATACATCTTTAAAAATAAATGTCATGATAACAAGTTTATAAAAAAAAACGTTATTATAAATTTAATGAAACCTAAATACCCCATATCGCTACGAAATCAATCTCACTTTTTAACTCTAAAAACCTAATATATTTTTAATTACGCCTTCTAGTGGATTGTTTTGACATCTGATCTGAGTGTGAAATAACTTAATATTTATGTATTGTTCATGCTTTAGTGTATATTAGTTCAAATAACGGGCCGCATTTAATGGTAGATGTTTTAAAAAGTTTGAGAGTCATCATATGAAACTATGTGATATCATGACACTTCAACATAATACAGAGACTTGAGTACGTTGTATTAGAATTATTTTGGAGTCTCGACACATTGTTACAGTCCATGTCACAGTGTATGGCAGTGCTCTATCTGACGACCATGTATTTAGATGATAGCCCTGCAGCATAGTTTCCATTGCAAAATTTCCCGTCATAAGGCTGTCATGTCCATGGCATACCACTCTTCACTGTTAGTTTTTATAATCCATCTAGTATACGTCTACAACAGTTTCCCCATGCTCATTTCGACAATCCAGTCAAATAGAAATTCGTGGATGCAACGTTCGGCGACATGACTAGTATATCCTCGTATGGAATAGCATAAATATCCGTTTCACTCTTCAGCTGCTTGAAGTATGTGATGGTTGAAAACAAGTTATGTCGTTTTTCCAGGGAGTGATCGTTGTTACTTATGTTTTTTCACTGTTATCTGGGGCACGTGGGTAGCTTTTATAATTGGTCTTTTTTGTTTATAGATTCTCATCCATTACAAAATGCCGCACTTTGCTTACCACTTATTGCAGGTTTCTTTCTGCATATTCCTGGTGCCCCTAGTTGATCCATATTCCTTCAAATTATATCATAGTGTAATTCTGATCCATCCCTTAAGTTATATCATAGTGTAGTTCTGATCCATCCGTTCAAATTATATCACAGTGTAGTTCTGATACATTCCGCTTGTGTCGGCTATAGTTGTCAAGTTACTTGCTGATTTGCATATTTAAGCCTTTGTACTGGGCTATGTCGTGCAGGGTGGGCTGAATCCTCAGACTTTCAGCTCTTATGCCCAAATGGTGCTCTTTTTCTCAATCATAAAATATGTCCACAACTACTAAATAACACGCCTGATTCCACACCTTGCTTGTTGCGAGTTGGGAATAAAATTGCACACAGGGACTTGTAGGCCTATAAAGTAAAAAGACAATTATGATGTTCTGTTACGTGTTAATACCCAATAATTCACCGTTTAGTTTTAGATTCTAAAAGTGTTTATAAGACAGACTGAATAGGAATAAAGGAGGATCTGTTTGTTTCTTATGGATTTTCATTCTATGTGATCTCCGTCCCACCAAACATGCTCGCCCTTTCAGCCGTGGGGGCATTATAATGAGACTGTCAATCCACT